ACAGGAGTAGCGATATGATAATAAATTATGGAATAGATCTATCACTGAAATGCTAACACCTACTTTTGCAAAATCCATCGAAAAAGGGGGTGTCAGTATTTTGGTTATAGATTTTCAGGAACACATTTTTATGAGCTCGAACAGATCTCAAAATCTTTAAAACAAATTTCTCTTCAATTTAAGATGTCGTTCGCCTCTCTATGACTTGTCCTTTCGGAGTTATGGTCAAAACAAAATGAGCAAAAACGTAATGTTGTTACACTCTGTCGCTAGCGTTACGTGGACAAGCCGAAGGAAAAGTTAAAGTCGACTCCGTCTTTATGGAAAAAGTTCTCACTGCTGCTGCAGCCGAAATATAGGATTTCAGCATGACTTATCAACAAACAGCCTTCAAAAGGTAGTTGACTGCAATCTCTATACGAAATTACCTTTGACACACAGACAGACTAGGTGTATCAACTACTCAATATTGATCAAACCAGATCAACTTGATCAGAACGTTTGAAATAACATATTTCGTGATACACTAGATCATTGTAGAAGTTTTCAGTTCAATTTCTGTTGGATTATTAGGTAAAACTCTATGCGTCTAATCCTTAAGAGCCAGGTACAGAAGTACTAAAGTATCGAAATACCAGTCACGAACTTTATTCTCGTTAAAAAGTTCATCGGTTCTGTTTGACACGCTCTGTCGAAGAGAGGATAAGTAACACTGTTTTAGCTATATTCTTCCACACTCATTAACAACCGTGTTCCACTAGATTCTAGATAGTGATAGCTTTACAAATTTTTCTTGTGGAATGCTTGTCTCCTTTAAACTTGCCTAATAGATTGTTTTGTCTATGAGATTCTATTTCAACTGAATTTCACAAGGAATTATATTCCTTTTTCCATTTCCATAGGTGCATCATTCCAAAAAATAATAGATCCTGATACGTCTGATATGAAGCAGAATGCTTATTCTCGCTCTATTCGTATCGAGGATCCACATGTCCTAGTTTATCTTGGCGGTGTTACGATTATCTCCGACGTTAAAACCAATCGTTCTCTGGAAAACGATTTTGAAGGTCAAATGCGAGACATCTTTGTCCGAATCAATCAGACATTGGCAGAAGTACACAATGGTGACTTGGATGACATAGTAGCAATGACCGTGTTTATACTAGACGCAAACCTTTGTGGGCGCTTTATTCAAATTCGAAAAGAAGTTTTCGATGGACCCGATTTTCCTACCAGTACTTTGATTACGGTTCGAGGTTTCTTCGATCCTAGGATGCTGATAGAGATGCAGGCTACTGCTGTGATGGCACCTTCAATGAACCATCATTTGCGAGCATCTTTGTTTTGGACCGTGTCTTTCGCCTGCTTTGCTAGTTTTCCGAAATATGTGCTAGCTATAAAATGAATGTCATAAGATGTGTATTTCTTAGGTCCTGGAAATTCGTTAGATTCCGTAAGAACATTGTATTCTGTGTATTTCTTAGGTTCTGGAAATTCGTTAGATTCCGTAAGAACCTTGTGTTCTGTGTATTTTTTATGTTCTGGAAATTCGTTAGATTCCGTAAGAACCTTGTGTTATGTGTATTTCTTATGTTCTGGAAATTCGTCAGATTCTGTGAAATCCCCTGATTTTATAAACTCGCTGGACTCTTCCAAAAGATGGATTCTTTAAATTCGCTGATAGAAGTAGTTGGTTGAGTTTAGGTGAATGAAAGAGGGATTGAAACAAGTTTATTGAAAAAAAAAAACACAAAAGGAAAAAAAGAAACACAGAACAAAAAAATAGAAACACAAAACAAAAAAAGGAACAGAAAACAAAAAAAAAGAAACACAAAAAAAAAAAAAAAAGAAACACAAAACAAAAAACTAAGGTAAATTGTTCTTGTTGAGATAGACTGCTTGAATCTTCCTGCAGCTATATTTGAAGAAGTCGCGATTTGCCTCCGGGTGTTGTAAGCCGTGTTCGCAAGGATCAGCCTGAAATATACAAAATTCAGCAGCAGTATTTCCGTAAATGTGTAACGTGATACCTGCACATTTGGTTCGAGCATAATTGACTTCTTTTTTTTCGACGCAGAGATGGTCTTCTGATAGGCAGCCCATTGTATCGCAAAGATGTGAGGCTGAATAGAAATATGACTAAGTTACAATATCAAGAGAAAAAAAGTGAACTAACCTTGTAAATGATTTTTTTTTATTTAAGAGCAGCGGAAAACGGTGACCTAAAACAGAACGAAGAATAATATGATGAGATAGTATCGATAATTTGTTGATATTTTTTGATGCGAAGAACTTGTTGAACCGGTTTTATACTGATTTTGGCCAGGCTTTGCCATTTAAAAGTAAAGTAACTTTTGGGGTAGTCAGGTGGAGGTCGATTGAGGTGATGTTGTTCAATTTTGCATTTCATCCATTTTGTAAAGAAAGCACCTAAATGAAAAGGTAGAACTAAGCTTATTTAGTCATAATATTACTCACCGTTTAGTGGTCGAATACTTTTCATTGTTGCAAGTTGATCGAGATCGAGTGATGAGTCGATGTGTCGAGGATTCACTAAATCAAGATGAAGACCAGGTTGTTAGCGTCAATAGAGGTCACTCTATTACCGCTAACTGTACAGTTGTGATATAGTGACTTTCCTCTTTTCTCTCTATAGTTCATATATGTAGTTCCATTGGATTGTCCACTGTTTATATATATATGTTTTTTCCCTTTCCTCTTCATCTATGAGTCAGTTGTTGTTTTTCTTCTTTCCCGGTGATATACTTATTATTATCATTATTGTTATTATTATCATATTTGTTATTATTTCTTCCTTTTGTTACCTTTCTCTTTCTTTTCCATTATATTATCATTCTCATCCCCATTGTTATTAATAAAACATTAACCGGTTAATTAACCTATTCTCTTCATTTATCATTACAAGGTCTGGTAAGAATGTTTATTTACTTTTACGTGAGATCTCTCGTTCCCGTTGCAGACCGGGTATTTAATATTTGATTGTTTTCTGGCCTAACCTTAGAGTGGGGCAAGAGTCTAAGACATTCCCATAAACGAGAACCTCACACAGGTGGGAGTAAAGCTGTTGTAAAATCATTTATTTCCTGAGGTTTGAGAGATTTAAGAAATTGTTGTGGATTTGTTGTTGAAGGTGCCATTTAAAATTATTCAATGTTGTTTAACTTGATAGTGGTGTGTATAGCGGACGTTATATGCACATAGTATATATATAGACATTGAATTCATCGAGTGTTATGTTTTGTGAATGATCAAAATTGATCACTAATGGTTATTGTCAAATAGATAAACTAATTAACGGTAGAGAGGAAGTGGTGAATAGCCAATTATGATTAGTGGTGTGTGTCACTGAAATAGAACGATCATATTATAAGTCAGAACATTCAATAATAGTGATAGACATTGTTAACATTCAAGCTAACGTATTCAATTTTTTGTTTCTGATTTTTTCGTTGTTTTTTGTTTCTTATTTATTTATTCTTTCGTTGTTTTTGTATATTTACTCTTTCTTATTTCTTATTTATTTTTTGTTTCTTTTTTTTTTGTATATTTATTCTTTGTTTTCTTTTCGTTATTTCTGTATTTTTTTTCTGCTGTATCTTGATTGTGTGATTGTTCAAAAATTATGTTTCCTGTCAATGTTTTTTTCGTTAATCCGCGTAATCATGATTGGACCGACGCTGGGAATTTTTATTTAGCACAAATTTTGGCAGCTAATCCATATCCAACAGAACGTGAAAAAGAAGAAATTGCAGTGGCGGTGGGATTGCCGTATAAATCAATAAAGGTGAGCAAAAAAAAAAAAAAGGTCACCGGTTTTTGCATTTTTTTAGAACAAGCTCAAGGATGCTAGACGTGGTGCTCGACTAGGAAGAGCACGCGTGAACGTGGTGGCACCCGTAATTCCGGAAGCAGAAGTCGTGGAACAAGAAGTTGGTGTGGGTCAAACATTTCTCCGGATGATTAGCAAGGCACAATGTGAGCAAGTGTACAAACAAATGAAAGATGCTGGCGATTATCTTCAGCTCATCAACCCACGGCATATCAAACCAGCATTAACCATGGAAGAGTTAAGAAACATGACTGGTCCCAAAAATTGTGATGGTAAGTTTGTTTCATTTTTTTATTATTGTTTTGAGTTCTGTCTTCAGGTCCTCACTTTGTGGAATGGCTATCCCGTTTAATAATGAAAAGATGCCTATCAGAGCCACAGCTAGAAAGAGGAATAGTGCTGTACAAGAATAGCAAAACATTCCGCGGCCTCACCAAGCAAATTAATAAATGCTGCAAGCAATTTAAAAAAGAACATATTTCAATTCAAAAGCATCATATCATCCTCTGAATCAAGGAAGATAAGCTTCCACCGTTATCGCCGCGAACCGACTGCATGGCAGGTAAAAGAAAAATCTTTTATATCATTCATCTTAGATTGATTTCTGTTTCTTTTAGGGTCACACTTGTGCGAGACAAATGGTTGCATATCAGAAGAGCATATTGTCCTCGAATCAATGAAAATCAATCACAACCGGGCACGCTGTGCTGGAATTATTTTGACCATCTCTCCAGCAACACCAACATCACCACCACATATTTTAAAAGCAAAACCGTGTTGACATGGCCTCAATCATCCTATATCGGACGGTGATGACTTTTTGTTTAGTTGTCGAAAAATTCAATGTATATTTCTTGATCAAATTTCACTTGATTTTTTAAATAAACAAAAATAAAAAATAATATCATTTTCAAAATCATTCTCAAAATATTAAAACACTGTTAGCTCACTTCGACGAGCTTACGTTTCTTTTATTTATTTTATATATATCTAAAAATGTCCTTAACAACACGTACATATATATTACAAGAGACAATAGCGAAGAAAAAAAAGAAAAGAAAAAGAATAACAATTTCAAAGAAAGAGAGAGAGAGAGAGAGAGAGAGATAGATAGAGGAGGTGGATCGAGGCCTGTAACAATCCTCCCCTCTTAGGAGATGTGTGTCCTCACATATTGAGATATTGTACGTTCATGATCAAATGTTGTTGATGAACATCGAATGTTGATTCGATGAAGTTGATATAATAATTCTTGTCCATAAACTGTTGAATTTTCAATTAAATTCTTAACTATCCATATTGTTGTCGATGAATTCATATCATTAACATCTTGTATATGTCTTAATGTAAAATGTGTTGGAATAATAAATAAACCTAAATCAATTATAATCCAATTAAAATTATGATTTATATTTTCATTATCATCTGTTGATGATGTATATGAAATTATATCAGATAATTGTTGAGATGAATAATTATGACCGGAACAACTAACATTAGTACCAATCTAATATAAAATTCCATCTTGATTAAAATCGTTTGTATATGTAAATGTTAATCGATTATCTAATTTTAATTGTTTAACAAATTCAAGATGACTATGAGGATAGTCATACCATTGTTTTGAAACCATTGATGCAAGAAGTGTTTTTAATTGTCCTATTGTTGTTAATGGTTCAATTTTTAATGATTTTCTAGTTCTATCAGTAAATAATTGTTGTTGATTTTTATATTGAAAAATTTCTTTTTTTTTTCATATATACCAAGTATGTGTGATGCATATTTATCTGGTACCGTTTGCTATAATTGTATAAGTAATTCACCTAAATCATTACGTTCAATAGATTGTTTTAATTTATTTTACCATTCAATAGGATTATCATTTACAATAAAACCACCTAATGAACCAGGACATAAACGTGTTTCAATATCTTCAAGATCATTTTTAAATGATGATATTATATCATTTGATGTTTGTGGTTGTTGATCATTGTATATTTCAGTATTTGAAATAGATTCTTCAGATTGATATTCTATAGAATTTTTATCTTTTTTTATTTGTTCAAATTTTATATGTAAAAGTGGCATAATTTTTTAATATTTGTTAATAAATTATGTTCACGAATACCACGATCATTTAATGATTGAATTAATTGTTAAATAATTGTTTCATTATTCTATGTCCACCATTATGATCTTGTGATTCACGAAGATAATGTTGTGTACCTAAATCAATAAAAATATGATTGGTGTTTTTGTTTACCCTGTTTTTCCAATGGTTGTTTTGGAGCTTTTGGTTGTTGATTTTGTCGTTTGTTATTTTTGTTTATTGTTGTTATTGTTGTCGAAGTTGTTTGTTGTTATTATTTATTTATTTATTTTTCATAGGTGTTGCTGTTGTCGCTAATTGTTGTTGTTGTTGATGTTTTATTTAATAATTTTTTAATAATCTATTATTATTAATTTTTTTAATTTTAATAATTTAATTTTAATTTTTAATTTTAATTTTAATTTTTAATTTATTTAACCCCAACGTTGTTCATATTGTTTTTTGGAGAAATAATTAATTGGCATTTTTATTCTTGCTTGTTCTTGTTCAGTTTCAGATTTAAAACCAATTAATACTTCTTTTTTATGTCGATTGATTGTTAATTGATGGCTTGTATAAATATCATCGTCCTTCAATTGAGCCCTAATTTTTTGGTAATCATATCGGTGGTAAATGGGCCTTTTTATTTTGTGTTGAAAATTGGGATGATATTTTTGTTTCCATTTTAACTTCAGGTTTTTCTTTCTTTGTTTTTCAGATTTTGATAATTTTGTTGTTGTTGTTTCTTCTTGTGCTTGTTGTTGTTCTTGTGCATTAAATTCGTTCATTTCTTCTTCAGTTGTTTCAATTGTTAAATAATTTTGTTCATCGAATTTTGGTATTAATATTTGAGGTGGTTTATCAAAATATGGCATTAATATTTGAGGTTCTTCATCATCGCTAATGTCGGATAAATTATCAATATTAAATGTAATATTTGTTGATGCTGTTGTTGGTGTTGGTGTTTCGTAACTTGTTTGAATGGTTGAGTCCGATGGATATATCATAAAATAAAGTTTTGTGACGGCGGTACAGTCAGCCACGGCATATGTTATCATTGATATACGTTTTTCTTTTTCTTCATTTGTATTGTAATGGTTCTTACTAAACAATTTTGTCTTCCATGTATTGAGTTTGAAGTCCAGTCCACAGCTCCACTTGTTAACTGTTTCGTTCTTGTCCAGAAATTGTTGAAAAGCTATATTAACTGCATCTTGTAAGGACCAGGTGGTTTGTTTCTCACGACTTTCCCTTTCGGGATGCGTGATACTTGGAGATTTGTTGTACCAGTCACTAAAACGATCCTGTAAATTTATTGCATTTTTAACCTTACCTTTTTCAAATAATCCACATGAATGAAAATTTTTAAATTCATTGTCAAATGGTCCCCATGTAATTTTTGTATTTTCATCATGTAATATGATTGAACATAGTTCCTTGATTTTCTTGAATAATAATGAATCATGATTTGGTAAGTAAAACATTTCAATTAATACTAATGTTGATTCTTGAATTGAATGAATAAACTGGATTTGTACGAGAGCACCTTTTGCTACCTTGTTTATTACTTGTGATTCTGTGTCGATTGTATATATATATGTTGTTTTTGCCATCATTATTAATTCTTCTATTGTTTCGATTGATGAATAATGATGAAGATGAATAACTGTAAAATTTGATGGTGATTGAAAAGGCGGATATTCTGCCCGTAGTT